TTTGTCCCTGAATATGAAAGTTCCATCTTTCAAAAGCACTCGGGTTATAGGGTTTTTATTCATTTCTATCAAGACTTCTTGAACCTACATGTTTTTCTAACACCATGCATGGTAATATATGTGGTTCTAAATATCTTTCCACCAGTCAACAGAACAAAATTTTCCACATTTTACTTAGTGCTGTTTGAATCCTTATTTATTTTATTATTAATGATATTGATAGGGACATAATTATTAAGGTTTCCTGATGATGAGGATAAACAATTGAGTATTTTTAACTGTACTGATGATGTTAACATAATATGGAATGACCCTAATTAGTTGTTAAGTTGGACAAATGTTTGATAAATGATCTTTAATCATGTGCAAGGTAATGCATTTACTTCAAGATATAATTTTGATCACATTTAATATAGATGAGAACCCATTGAATAGCATAACTGAAAAGAAAGGGATATTGATTACAAGTCGAAAGAGATTATACATACCACTAGTTCAGCCTCACTTGGAATACTGTTTGAATTTTGGTTTATATTTCTTAGAATTATAATAATAGAAAGGATATTGACTTAATCGAAGAAGTTTAGATAGGGCTATTAGGATGATTCTGGAGATGTAATAGTATTAAATAGGGATAGGTTAAGTTATTGTACTTTCTTTAGAGAAAAAAAAGGGTAAGAGATCATCTTATTGAAGTTTACAAGATTGTCTTTACATATTTGCATATAATTTAAGAACATCAAGGGACCTGATGGTCCATCTAGGCCATTCCAGCCTAAACTAATATTAGGGTTTTTAAATTAAATTTTAAATAGTGAAAAAACAACAGACCATTGGATTTCACAGTCAAAATTAGTAGATGTATACTGCAGTTTGATTCTGTCTTTAATGATTAACAAAAAACAGTTAATAATTGTACACGTAAATTGACCTTTCACACCATGCGAATGTCTAGTTGAAACAATGCAAATAAAATTGCTTTACCCGGTAACCTGAGACAGGAAACTTGTGACAAGACAAGATAAAATGTAACCCTAGTAAGATACTTCAATTTAAAACCTATATGCATGAATCTATATATTGATAAATGAAATGAAAACTGTCAATAACCAAGTGTTAAAAATCAAGTATGAACCTACATATTTATCTATTAAACCTATAGGAGAGATTTTGTATTCAATTGGTTTCATGATCCACAGATACATACCTGCTATGATATAAAGCAAAACTGTTGTCAAGGCAACGTATTGTCTGCTTACAGTTCCAATTTTTGTATCAACTTATGAATTAGCAAATAAGGACCACAGATGTCCTTATATGGCTTTGTTTATTATAAGGACCACAGATGTTCTTATATGGCTTTGTTTATTATAAGGACCACAGATGTCTTTATATGGCTTTGTTTATTATAAAGACCACAGATGTCTTTATATGGCTTTGTTTATTATAAGGACCACAGATGTCCTTATATGGCTTTGTTTATTATAAGGACCACAGATGTCCTTATATGGCTTTGTTTATTATAAGGACCACAGATGTCCTTATATGGCTTTGTTTATTATAAGGACCACAGATGTCCTTATATGGCTTTGTTTATTCAAGTTAAATGACTAATAGGTATTTATTAATGGTTTTAAAGTTTTGTTTGTGTGTTTGAAAGTAGAAAATACTTCTGGATATAAAAAAACACCCAGAATAATGAGAACTAACATTTGATATATCTCTGACTGTTATTAGTCAAGCATCCACTCACAAATGCCCTGTTTTTGGTGCTAAAATTCACACATTAGTCACTGCTAAATCGAGGAGAAATGTTTAGTAGTACTTTTTTTTTCATTTTGATTATTGGAGATTTAAATATATTTGCAAGGGAGACTTTGCACTCACACAATTCTGTGGCCAAGAACTATGATTCTCTAGGAATCTCTACTAAATTAAAAATAAACTCTCAAAGCTAGCTCTTATCATTAAAATATTTATCAAGCCTTTCTTTAAATTAACTGTATCTACCACATATGAAGGCAACCAATTCTGAAGGCCATCTACCCTGTTTGTAAAATAGAACTGTCTTAGCTGAAGATCACTTCTATGCTGTCAAAATTTATATTTGTGGCCCTAGTCTTACCATTCTCACCATTAAGTAAGAAATAAGATGATGCATCAACATTATCAATTCCCTTAATTGAACTCTTTTAAGATAATATAATTTCAGAGACCTTAAAGGGTTGTTAGCTTATGGAATGAGTTGCCATTGACTATAGTGGAGACCGACACTTTACAGGAGTATAAAATAGGTATTGATAATTTCTTGAAAAGTTTAAATTTCTAACCTTTTCAAAGTCTGCCACCATTGTGTTTAGGACACATAAGTGAAATTTATAATGTTATTTTATAGATTCTTTCTAGACTGAATCGCACAACATTGAAAAGACCAAATGTGAGTCAGGAAAGACTACTGTTGTAAGGCTACAAGAAACTACAGCTGCACATCATTGTCTTCCCAGAGTGAAAATTAGGCAAGAAGGTGCCAGAATCTCGACAGTTTTAGGAGTGTTTGTTTGATAAATGGCTGTGGATCTATTAGTCCAAAAAGGGGACAAAGTGTATTGCTTTACATACATGTATGTGAGAGCACAAAAGATAATTGGGTCAAGTAAGACTGAATGCGTCTTCTTCCAGAGGACTTCAGCTTGCCATTAAAAGGATAAAGTATTCCTGTCTCATTGACTTAAAGGGATAAGCATGTGATATTTTGGCTAAAATATCCAAGTATTATGAGGAAGAGAAACTGACCATTCGGAAGAATTTGGTGGAAATATTATCCAGCTTTATGTTGCTTGAACATCCTGGTTTACTGTTACATGAAGTTGGTTGTGGACATGATCCTAAACTGAACTATTTGTGGATAGAGGACAACTTTTCCATTCATAACTGGATGGGGAAAAAAGTGGGAAGCTTAAAATACATCCATCTGATATTCTGAATGAGGATTTACAAGTCACGGCTCTGAAGTTTTTATGCAAAACTTGTTTGAATTTACAAAATATTGAAAGTTAGGCTTTTATAAGAGAAGAACAATTTGTGGTGAGCACTCACTCAAAATTTCATGGTTTTATGTGAATGAATCTAATAAATTAGAGATGCTGCAACAGTGTCAGCAACGAGTATGTCTTTTCCTGTGAATGTTCCTGTTCTCTGAACTGCCTTGGCATTTGCCTAAACACACACTTTTTCAACATTGATTCAGCATATGCTAAAGTTAGGTGCGTCTGGAAAAAGACAAGAACGTTAAACTGCAAGTTACACATTATTCTTAATTAAGTACAAGTATTTATATAATCAGTCAATATGTTTAAAAGCCTGTGACATTGATGCTAAATCTAATTACTTGGTCATTTAATCATTCATACCATGAGTTGTAATACCCCTTATTTTTGAAATCGATATAAGAACCTTAACCTTTGTCTTTCTGTCATTATTGTGGCTTGTCTTGTTCTTACCCCTAATTCTATAAAATAATAGTCAAGAACATTAGAAGTTCTTCTTTATATTATACTAATTACACTTTGTTATAGTTAAGTGTGTACAATGTATTCAGAACATGCAACTTGCCTCTCCACAGAACAATTAGTTTGTGCCTTAGTGCTACTCAGAAAAAGTTTTTGGCATATGTGCCAAGCAGCTGAAAGAGTTCTCACATGTGCATATAATAACATGTACTGTGTTTATCTGTTATGCAATCAACATTGATACTGCTATACCAATAGGATGGTGAGAAAACTTCATACTTTCAGGTATGAAAAATATTTATTTGTCTGCTTCTTTGTGAAGCAAGAAACATATCAGATACAGGCTAACTGGTAGTGGAAGAAACATATCAGATACAGGCTTGTTGATGGTAGAATAAACATATCAGATACAGGCTTCTTGATGAAGGAAGAAACATATCAGATACAGGCTTCTTAATGGGGAAGAAACATATCGGATACAGGCTAACTGGTAGTGGAAGAAACATATCAGATACAGGCTTGTTGATGGTAGAAGAAACATATCAGATACAGGCTAATTGGTGGTGGAAGAAACATATCAGATACAGGTTTCTTGATGAAGGAAGAAACATATCAGATACAGGTTTCTTGATGAAGGAAGAAACATTTCAGATACAGGCTTTTTAATGGGGAAGAAACATATCGGATACAGGCTTTTTAATGGGGAAGAAACATATTAGATACAGGCTAACTGGTAGTGGAAGAAACATATCAGATACAGGCTTGTTGATGGTAGAATAAACATATCAGATACAGGTTTCTTGATGAAGGAAGAAACATATCAGATACAGGCTTGTTGATGGTAGAAGAAACATTTCAGATACAGGCTAATTGGTGGTGGAAGAAACATATCAGATACAGGCTAATTGGTGGTGGAAGAAGCATATCAGATACAGGTTTCTTGATGAAGGAAGAAACATATTAGATATAGGCTTCTTAATGGGGAAGAAACATATCAGATATAGGCTTCTTAATGGGGAAGAAACATATCAGATACAGGCTTCTTAATGGGAAAGAAACATATCAGATACAGGCTTCTTAATGGGGAAGAAACATATCAGATACAGGCTTCTTAATGGGGAAGAAACATATCAGATACAGGTTTCTTAATGGGGAAGAAACATATTAGATACAGGCTAATTGGTGGTGGAAGAAATATATCAGATACAGGCTTGTTGATGGTAGAAGAAACATTTCAGATACAGGCTAATTGGTAGTGGAAGAAACATCAGACACAGGCTAATTGGTAGTGGAAGAAACAT